CAGACTGACAGCAGAAGGTCTGGGAACCTTGGCTGCTTTGAATGGCAAGGCCCGACCAAGAGGCCTTATACGTCAGAGGACAGATAAAGCAACCAATCACGTTTCGTTTTGTGCCTCGTCATGTTTATGGGCGTGGAAATGTCTCCACAATAACAGACCGTGTGTAAAACTGTTGGACGTATTTTAAAGATTCTATGCCGCGAACTTTAAATATTTCACATACTTTTGAAAATCCAGCGTTTAGTTCATCTTGATAAGCGCTCATTACCACAATTGTAAACACGACGGCTTGCTTCTAACATGAGGGGGTTTGGCGTCACGGCATATTTGTTTTCAGGCAGAACATTAAAGAACACGACACACACGTCTCCCGGAAATCCTGTATAATTCAACCAATCTGATGACGACTTCGAAACCAATTTTGTGTGCCGTATGCATCTGACGTTCTGCCAACGGTCCGTAGGTGTAACGTCTGAGGCTGAGACTAGAAAGCTCTCGGATTTCATCAAAAATATCTTAATTTGTGTTCTGAAGATGAGCGAAGGTCTTACGGGTTTGGAACAACATGAGGGTGAGTAATAAATGACAGAATTTCCATTTTTAGGTGAACTATCCCTTTAAGACCCCACTTTACACTACAGTTCAAGCGTTTTTTTTTTAAAGAATACTTTTATTCAGTAAGGAAGCATTAAGTTAATTAAAAGTGACAGAAAAACATTTATAACATTACAAAACAGAATTCTATTTCAAATAAATGTTGTTATTTTGAACTTCATCAAAGGATCCTGAAAAAATGTATCACAGTTTCACCGAAATGTAGCTTTTTTAGCAATAAATTAGATTTTAAAATATATTAAAATAGAATATGGGTATTTTAAATTGTAATAATATTTCACAGTATTGTTCTTGCTGTATTTTATGCATAAAAGACTAATTTCAAAAACATTAAAAAAATTGTACTAACCTCAAACTTTTGAATGGTAGTGTATGTGTAGATACTTGTGTATGTGTGGAAATGTTTAGGCTGTATATTTTGATGGAAATCCTTAGGAACTACACCATTCACACAGCTGGTGATTCTGTTGGCTTGTAGTGAGCCAGCAGGCCTCCTGTTCTTTCTGTGGCCAGTGAATGCAGCGTGCAAGCAGCACAAAGAATGAACGACTCAACAGCTTTAGGACATAAGCCCTCCATAAGCCTCACACTTCCCCTGTGGAAAGGCAAAACCTGCCCTTCTTATGTTAGTCCACCCCTGAAGAACAAAGGAGTATCTAAAGGCCTGGTTTCCAGAACCATTTACAACATTTAGAATTAGTGGAAATTCTGTAAATGGTCTGGTCCACAATCCAGCTTAGCATAAAACAACCAACCACACATAAAGCAACCAACCACAGTTTGTTTTCTCTTTACGTGCCATTTAGGGGTGAGCTTATCTGAAATATATAGTTGGGATGCCCATTATTAATAAATGTATTCAGCTGTATTTTGTGTGATGAAATCACACATGTGTACAATCGCGTATTAGTGATGCAGACAGACCTTGCATGCATTCTTCAAGTTTATGGATTAGCTTGTATGACTTGCAGCGGTCCAGCAGGGTACGAATGGCTGGAAGAGGGTCAAGAATCACTGTTTCAGGATGAGCATCTATGTAGTCCTGGAGAGAGGTCAAAACACACAATTCATGAGGTCTTGCTTTGTATACGCAGCAAAATGAAAGAACAATGTCAGCGGTTATAAAACAAAAGATGTAAAAAGATATATAAAAAACAATATATTATATTACAATTTTTTAAATATATTTCTAATAATATATATTGTTATTTTATATTAATATTAAAATATTATTATTACAAATTAACAAAATATTACAAATATATACTATTCTATTTTTATTATTATTTTGTATTAAAATATAAGGAGTGAAAAGCAGATAAATGTATGACCACTTGAGCTGATTTATCTATTTACCTGAACACCCTGAACAAGTAGCAGAGACTCTGTGACATTTTGGTCAGCATCAACAATGTGGTCAGTCAGCTTGTGGATGATGACATCAAATGGACCCTGCTTCTCTATTGGCTGGCTCAGATCCAGCTAGACCGGGAGAACAAGGCCAAGAGCTCAGTAAACATCCACAAGACATTTTTAGCAATAACCCTCAGAGAGATTTCTAATGTCAAAATATGAATAGACAGAGAATGTCTTTTTTCTCAAAATGCACCTGTGTGTATTATTTGTATGATAATGAGTATTAGCAAATTACATTTAATAGGTTGATAAAATAAACAGCATGCCTACATTTTGAAATTCCACTTTTGCCACGAAGTTCTGTTTGTTCAAGTGAGACAATTGAAGAACAGATGTTTATGACGTGATGCTAATTGTGAGGTGTGATCTGTGCTGTCACTCAGACCGCTCAGATACTGCTAAACTCTGAAAACAATCCACTCACTGAATCCAGTGCATGAGTGAAAGCCAAGCCAGATTGTGGATTATATTCTGTTTAATGTCAAAATCAAACCATATAAATAAAAGGACATGAATCTCAGGTCAACAATTCACAACAAGGAAAGGGGAAAGCAGCCGTTTCTAAAAAATCAATTTCTGTGTAGCTAGGAAATGTACATTGGCAGTAATTTGTATTTATAAATATAGTGGTAAATAGTATAGAAGCGGTCGACTATCCAGTGTATGACAGACGGTACAATGTATTCTGAAGGTTTTACGTGTCATCCAGTATGGAAAATTGCTGCTTGGGGTACGCAGAACATGTGGTCACTTTGGGTTTAACCTTTGGGGATGAGAGCATATTTCTCTTGGATCAGACCACAAATGTTCATGGCAAACATCAGAGGCATCTGTATACGGCCTAGGCAGTTAATAGGGGATGGGGGTATCCCTAAGTGCACTTTTATTTAAAATGCTTAGACCTAGTCCAGAGTCTCTCTTTTAAAAGCAGCACCAAATAAATTTTGTATGGCCCACCAGAGGTAATCCTAACGGGCTTATTATCTTATTCCCTAAATGGCCCTGTTTTAGATGACAATGTCCGGAAATATTCTCATAGCCAGTGCAGATATGTGAAAAGCAATTTGCGAAAACAGACATAAAGAATGAAGAAGATGACACACAGATTCCACACAGACACCTCATGACACTTCAGTGAAAAGACCCCTCCACTTCCTTTTTGTAGAGGATATTCAGCTGATACACACATCATCTGATATAAAGCATGAGACAGCCATGTGTTACATCACATTAATGTTGTTGTAGCATTTTATTAGCTTTTTAAATAAATATCAGGCAAAGAGCTTCACTGCTTTCGGGATATATTGAGGCCTTATATGCTTTGCTAGAGTATTACTCTTCCATCTATCACACTTCTTCCTGAAAAACAGAATTAAATCACTAACTTGCTGTTACTTCTGTTGCACAGTGAGAGACATGTTGTCATTAACCAAGTGTAAACCAAGGAAGTGATGGCAAACAAAAGTCCTTCTACTCAATTCTTTAAATTACATTTTAAAATATATTAAAATCATTACTTTAAATTGTAATAATATTTTTTCAATATTACTGTTTTTACTGTATTTTTGATCAAATAAAACATTACTGACCCCAAACATTTGAAAAAAAAAAAAAAGACAATTGATAAGGTTAGTTTCATATCTTTATAAAACTAAAGGTTTTATAAGAATATGTGGTCACTCCCATTACCCTCAGGTTATTATATTTGTGAAATGAGTGTGAGTAAGTTCTTGAGAAAGTGTAATTATCTTATCTCTATGGTGGTGACATGCTGGAACTGCAGTTTTAAACTATATGTAAATATACTATTAACCTATACAATTATTTAATAAGCAAAGTACGACAGCCTGACCAGAGAAGTATGATGACCGACAATAGTTTTTAAGTCTATACCCACAAAAAGAAAATACACTCACTAGATATTCAAAGCATTCATTTTCAAAAACGTGATGAGATTAAGCCTTTTCCCCTTGATCGATTTTAGTGAATTAATGATTAAATAGGCAAGGCAAGGCAAGTTTATTTATATAGCACATTTCATACACAATGGTAATTCAAAGTGCTTTACATAAAAGAAAATAAAAAAATAATCACAACAATAAAACTAGTCACATGATCTTAATCAAATTAATGACATTCCCCTGTCTAAAATGATCAGGCCATGGACTGATTGCTAGATAGTTAAGTACTTTAGAGACCATATAAAATCTATGACTGGGTGCAGCTGGGTAGATTATTGTATGAGGCGTAAACAGGTCAAAGTCCATCCTTTACTCTCTTCGGTTTCAACGGCCTACATGCTGTGGATAGCAAAGACGTGTGCATCCTTGGAGTGGAGAAAAGCACTCAGTGTTTCACTCAGCCAGACAGCTTCACTGATAAATGTCTGACTCATAGTAAAGGCCCAGAATGAGGGAACAAGGACCTTGGTTTAGTCTACCAGCCTTCACATGCAAGTCCCAAAACAAAACAAGGTGACTCTGTTCCAAGAATTCTCTTCACTTTCCATGGCAAAACAGTAAAGAACAATGTTTGTCCATAAACATACATTTATTTATTTATTTTTGAACCAAAGATATGCCTTGAGTTCTATGCTTGCAAGCAAATCTACACCTCATTTCCACTACAACCTGCTTGGTTTGTTATAAGAGGCCCTTTACGTATCTCAGGGCCATCTCAGTTCCTCTTTAACTTAACACAATATAAACATGGTTGACAAGGGCATATCCTGCTGGAATGTGCAAATACTGTCTTCATATGTTCACTGAAAACATTACCACAAAGAGCCAGTCATTTACAAGTCACTAGATTCAGCGGGTTTTAAAAACCCAATACCACTATAGATTTTTTCCCCGATATTTTCTAATTTAATATATATTTTTTTAATTTTATAATTCAAAAAAATTCAACAAAAAAAATAAATAAATAAACAAACATATCTTAAATATTACATATTTATTCTTAATTGTAAGTCTCTTTTCAGATTTTCAAAGTGGTCTCAGAGTTTTGGACCCCCCTCCCCCCAAAAAACCCCATCCACACACAAAATAATAATAATGTCTTAAATGTGTCACAGTAATCTCTGTGAGTCATGTCTAATGATTTATCAGTGCCAAGGTGAAACAAAGGGAAGTTGTAACAGAATCATTCAATAAATACCCATAATGCTGTTAACTCACCATCCTTAGAATGATAGTGATGGCATAACTTTAGAAAAGTTCTGATTGTTCTGATCAGCACTAAAACTAAGGACATCTGTAGAAGACAAAAACACGCTTGACCCTGACAAAGCTTTCCTTACTGGGACAAAATGCACACATTTGCACGTGAATCTATTTACAGCACCATTATTATCAATAAGGACAGGTTGGGTTTAACCTACTCTCCAAAAAATCATCCTCTTGAGTGAAGCCAAGGATGCTAGATTAAGATTATGTGTACCAAGATGTCCCACTGCACTAATGTCCTCAGCATGACCTTATAGAATTACCTGATAAGAGGAAAAATAACAAAGTATAATCTATCAAGACAATGCTTCAGCTTATACTATAAATGTGGTTTATATCAGCCTGATATGAAGAAGGCTAATCAGTGCAATTTCCATGCAATATTGTAGAAGCAAACTTATGTTTTGTTATGTTAGGCTATATTAGGCCCTGGGTGAGAACTGTTTTGAAGCAACAAAAAAAGTCTCTATAAACTGTTTTTACTGGCATTATTCAATGGCAAAGTAAAAAAGCCACAAAAAGTTCATGCCATAACAGTACGAACATTAATAATATGGCATTACAGTAAGCAACACCAGCCCTATTAAACAATGCATTTATTACTATGCAATACAAACCTCAAAATGCACAATTCCAACTGCATACAAAAGTGATTAACTGTGTAGTAATGCAGTAATACTACGTAACACTCTCGTGGCGATATTTTGAATTTAATTCTCCCCAGGCATACTAGCTTCATTTTCATTTGAAATTAAAAGCATGTTTGTTACGTTTAGAGCAGATAATGACAAGCATATTTTGATGATATTGTGGAAACGGCCTCACATTAATGGACAGGCTTTTAGTGTTATGGAAAAGCCATTTAAAAAAGAAAGAAAGAACGAAAGAAAGAAAGAAAGAAAAAATGCCATAAGGGTTTCTTACCTGGATCATCTCTATGCCTTGTTTCCTGGAAAACAAAAAAGTGGAAAAACAAACTATGAATATTTTATATTGATTCCATGTGACATGCAACTAAAGTATTGTTGAGTCAAATAATGATCAACACGGACTTGAACTTGTAATTATGAGAACTTCACAACGAGACAAATTATTAGGTTTTTATAAGTTCAAATAGAACAGGGAAAAATCCTGTTATTTTGCAACCCAAAGGGGGCTTTGTCACCTAAAGCAATCCCTGTTTAGCTTTGGACTGCTGTCTCTCACACAAATAGGACAGAATTCTCCAAATTCCCTCTCATAATCACAGGCAAAAAAGCAACAAACACACACATGCTTAAAATGAAGTATCATCCCTCTCCATTTCCAGACAACACATTTATGCTATTTATAAAGCAAAACAAAACACTCTTTAAATGATTTGATAACACAGTTCATATAATGAATAGTGTGTCTGATTAGTTCTTGTGCTGTGAGAATATCTGTATTTTTCCAAATTCATGAGTCAGGCAACTTTAAGTCTTCTAGTTTAAAAGTCCCTGAAATAACAATAAGCTCACATTTTTTTCAACAGCTGACAAATCTGCTGTGATTTAACAAATGTAGCACTGTGTGACAGTTTATCAGTAGTGCTGAGTCAGTAGTTTGTTTCTAAAGCCTCAGAACTAGGTGAAAATATCTTAGCCTTTCATCAAATGTCCCAAGACAAACATGCCAGCCAGTAGTATAACAAATAATTTTGCACAAGCCTTGGTAAAATTTCTTTGAAAACCGGTTATCTGTAGGCTAGAACATGCTCGTGAAAGAAAGGAGAGCACATTACATTAACTCCGAAATGTCAAGTAGCCCACACACAGTACTTCATCCGCACAGATACGCATCTAAGGCATGTTCAGTGCCTCCCTCCACAAACACAACATTTATAGCTTTATAGCCATATTAATGGCAATGCAGTGTAAACTTGAATAACATAAGTAACATGATTCAGCTTTGAATCAGTTAAGTAACAGACACAGTCTTGCTGCAGACTCTTAGGAATGCAGGGATTCTAAAGAGATATGGAAGCAATGTTACTCTAAGTCTGTGAAATCGAAGACTGACTGCCTGCCTCCTGCCTGGTGCTTATCCAGGTAACCGGTGAACTTTGTCCAGGCCTTTGTCTTTTTTTATGGACGAAAATTCCACAGATGGTTTTATGGCCATCTAATTATAAGAATCCCAGGACAGTGTTACAAGTTATAGTTTTTTATAAGCAATCTAGGACAGTTCAGAAGGGACTCCCTCGAATAGCAAATGCTTAGATACTTGACAGGTAGATTGACTATGGTGACAAAGGATATCCATGGTTTCATGATTGAAGCTTCATATGATGGATGCAATGAGAGTGTACCTACAGTTCAAATCTATAATGACTTGCATAAGAGTAGTGGTTTAATGGGGGGGCTTTTTATTACATTTGCTGGATACAATAAAGTTACATTTTATTACATTTGCTGGATACAATAAAGTGAGTGAAACTGTGTTGATGACTGATGTAACGAAACACTAAAAAAAATGCTGGGTTGCTTCAACCCAACTTTGGGTCAAATATGGACTAACAGGAAAATCAAAGTTGGCACACCACAGCTCCAAAAATAGAACAATATTTATTTCATTTTTATTTTATTTAAAAATATATAATGAAATATTTTTCTATTTTTGGAGCTGTGGTGTGCCAATTTTTATTTTCCTGTTTGAAATTTGTTTGGTTGAGCACCTACATTGAGCTTTTGGCCAGTTGAATGTGTGCACTTTGATTGGAATCAAATACGGACTAACCCAACTTTTGGGTTAAAATGTCATTTAAAAATGTAACCCAACAGCTGGGTTAGTCCATATTTGACCAGAAGTTGGATTGAAACAACCCAGCATTTTTTAGAGTGAAGATGAGGCAAGAGGACATGAGGAGGGGTGATGAATCATGTTTCCTATATCATATAGCACTAATTAACACTAAGCCCCACTTGTTTCAGTTCCCTATAACTTATCTGAATTACACATTCAAGTTTTGACACCTCAGCTCCTCTCAAAAATAAATATATAATTTTCTTAATATTAAATGGCAAGTAGTTTTTTATTCCATAAAACAAACTAGTATATATTTTACATTACTAGCATTTCTTTTTAAATGAGTAGTTAGCAATCCAAACAGTGACTCTTTTTCAATGTCACTAGCAACTATTTATTAGATGGATATTAGTAGGCTACTTTCTTTGCTACCAGTCATTCTAACAGTCAAATAACTGTAATACTAAAATATAACTCTACAATTGTATCAAATAACTCCAATAGTGTCAAAAACTGTGAAATAATTATTCCATTGTTATAAGTTTTTGTCTGTATGTGGAGAAGATGACAATGGAATAGGTGCTGGGAGCTATTTAATAAACATGTTCTATACTAACGTATATTCCGATTGTTAACATTTTACTCTTAAGTAGCCATTGAAATATGACAAGTAAAAAACACTTATATGCACTTAACTAGATATACAAACTAGTATTTAATAAATAAGTACTAGTGGGCTACCTAATTAATAGTTACTAGTAGGTACCAGCAACAAATGGAAAACACAGTCTTAAGTAAATAGTATTAGTATCAACACAGTCTGAAGTGAATAATATTAGTATCTAATAGCTAAACAATCACTAGTAAAATTAAAAAACACTGCCAACTAGTCACTAATGGATAACGTATTACTAAAACGTACGATTAAAAATTACCACTAGTAACATAAGCAGAGTCTAGTTCGTTTAAGGAACACATTAAAACTTGCTATAGATTATGACCGGTTCTTGTCTCGCGCTGAGTTACGCACCTGCACATTTCCACGAAGGTCTGGAAACTGAGTTTTTTAATCTTCTTCTCGCTGAGCCAGTATCCAACTCTTTTTCCTTTCACGAACGTCTGCATCTCTGGAGAGACATATGTCAGTCCAAATGCAGAGTTTATTAATTAAAAAATCGACCAGCAGTTTAGTTGTGTAGTTATGTGGTTACTGTCAAAAGATACCGAAGGTTTCATGAATGCATGTTTGAACTTACCTGACAGAATCAATGTGCTGAATCGATGCGTTCTGATCAGTTACGAGTCTCTCTCCTTTAACGTCTCGTAAAGTCCAAGTTACAGGTTCAGACTGTCGTCAATAGTCCATCCAGGATTGCTAGTGTCCTCCAGAAAGCGTGTCTCCTCTGTCTAAATAGTTGTTCGATTTTATGACAACTTCGTCATGTTATTTATAAGACACCAACACATATCGACATAACAAACACATCATGACACACCATAGTATGAAACCGGCGCGTGTCCCTGGTCTAACCTCACATGTGAAAGCTTATATATCCAAATGGTCTGTCCATTACTTGGCAAAGCTTTCGATTAACAATGTAATGTTGATTGGCCATTTGGACACAATGGACAGCAGCGAAATTTATTTGCCCAGGCACACCCTCTTTCAGAGGCGGGCTTAGTTCACTGGTAAAACTTGCGTGGTGTTTGCGAAGAATCTGCTCCTGCTATTTTCATTCATTCATTCGTGTTTCCTTGTGCCAAAGTTCAAATCTTTCACAATAAATGAGAGGGAAATAAAACAAGAGGAGCAGTTGCTTGTTAGAATCTGAATCTTTCACAATATTATGTATGTTAGTTGGTGAAATACCTAAATTCATTGTGATTTTGCATTGAGAAATGTGATTTTTGATTTGTTTGACACTTTAAAGACTCATTTTTTTCTCCCAGGCTTTTTTGCAAAATGCTGTTCAGTGACATGTTGTTGGAAACTAACTGTTTTTTTTTTATGTTGAATGGTTATTTTAAATAGGGTAACTTGTAATCTGTAACTTATTACATTTCCAAAGTAACCTTCTGATTACTAGCTACTAATTACATCTTCAACAGTGTAATTAGTGTACTAAGTACTCTCTCTAAAATATTGCATTACTTGTTACTAATTACTTTCTAAATACCATATCAACCTTGACCAGTTGAATAATACAAGGATAGTGCTCTTTTAATTCTTTCAAATAAATAATATAAAATTGCACAAATTATTCTTGAACTGAAGTATTTAATGGGACAAGGTTACATTAAAAACATATAATTTAACATTAGATGTTAAATGTTTATGCTAAATCTACTATTGCTTTATATAGAATTGGTCAGTCTATACAGTATTTAATGCAGTTACATCAGAACTAAATTAAAACAGAGTAATCCCTTACTTGCCTTTTTCAAGGGAAAAGTAATTGAATTACAGTAATTACACCCAACAAACAGTGCTTATAGTCTACATTTTATCATTACTGCCAATTGTGTAAAATTGATATTTTTATTTATAAATGTTTATAGCTAACTTGAATGCCTTCCCATTCCCACCATTGTCTTGTGTTTAGATTATTCTCAGTGCTCGATACATTTTTGTTGTTCAAAATAATTGTTATGCTACCCTCATTACACCAATATAGGCTAAAAACTCCAAAAACATAAACAAGCATGTGTGGGGTCCTGGTAAACCCATATCGTGGAGACCAAATGTCCCCACAAGTATAGTAAAAACAAATGTTGACCTTGTGGGATTTATTTATTTATTTTTGATTTGGAAAACAGCTTACAACATGATATATATATATATATATATATATATATAT